AAGCACACGATGTGATGCTCTCTCACCCTCTCACTTCTGCACTACACGTTGTCTGCCCTGGGCCTCTATCTCCCCGTGACCTACTTCCGATGAGGCGGCCTGATCTCTCTGACCGTCTAGGATTGGGCCTATCGCCCGACTCGGTCTCCTAAAAAACAAACGTGCTTTTTGTTTTCAGTTCAGTAACTTTACAGGCGAGCGACCGAGTCGGGCAACCGATTAATCACCTTTTTCCACCACAACTGAGGTTCGATTAAAAAACTTTTCTTCATAAATTTATATAAAACACTACAAATTTAATCTCCGTCTGCCTACGTCACGACTCACTGATGACACCTTTAATGGCAAGACTAGATCCATAGACTCTTAAATATAAATACTCTCTGCTAGATCTAGATCTAGATCTAGTTACAAGAAATTAGTTTTATAGTGGACACTTTTTTGCACTTAAAGTTCTGAAAACCTGCGTTCAATATAGATAATCTCGCCATTAGAAAAAGATGACAGACTATACTATAGGCCTTATTGCTTTTAAGAACGATACTGCCAGCTGTAAATAACCTTTTAAAATCAGTAGAAATTAATAACACCCAGTGGGATTTTTTTATTAGATCTAGATCTAGTTTTTATTAAGGAATTTTCTAGAATAGAGGTAACAGGTGTTACAAAAATATTGATGTCTTTAGACCAATTGATACTTTGCTAAAGAGGTTGACGTGTTCGCCTCCCTTTCAAAAGTCCGGGATTCCAATCCGGGTAGCGACCGAAAAAACTTTGTTCTCTAAAATTGTCTCCTTTCACCTGCTTTTCTGCTCCCTAGCAATCTTCTGTCGTCTACTTTCGTCCCCACTTTCTGTCCCCACCACCTCACATCCTTTGCCCCCTCCTCTGGGCTCCTGACTCTTTCTGCAGCCTTTTATATTCTACTGTTACACTGTTACTCCGTAACTCCTTCTTACTGCTGTCTTTCAACCACACCCTTGTTCTTCTGGTAGGAAAGATCTACACCTAGTCTTCTCGGACAAGGGCGAAAAATCTCGGAGGTCCCATGTGCAAGTTGCGCACGTTAAAGATCCCTTTATTGGTGGTCTAAAATCAATAAGAGTAGGTTTCGGCCGCCACCCAGGCAAAATTCAAAATTTCCTACCAACTGAAAAAGTTTAATGTGTCCCGCGCGCTCTATGACCTTATGCAGTTGCGAGCGCTGTTAAACACTTACCAAGAAAAAAAGAAGACACACTCACTGAGAGAGAGAGAGAGAGAGAGAGAGAGAGAGAGAGAGAGAGAGAGAGATAGAGAGA